CATCATGTGGTCAAAATATTAGAGCTTTAGTAATGAATATCCACGACTGATTTCCTTTAGGATTGACTGGTTTGATTGTAAATCAACTATCCATCAATAAAATTTATGGTTTTTAGAAAAGCAAATTTATTCTCATTATATGTTTCTGTGGGCTTTCCTGGTGGCTCAGACGGTAAAGAATCTGGCTGCAATGCAGGAGGCCCAGGTTCAGTCCCTGGGTCAGGAAGATCCTCTGGAGAAGTGAATGGCTACCCACTCTAGTATTCTTGTCTGGGAAATCCCATGGACAGAGGAGCCTGGTGGGCTACAGTCAATGGGGCCACAAAAAGAGTTGAATCCGATTCAACAATTAACACTATATGTTTCTGTAATGGAAAAACAATAGTAAACAAAATCATAGTTCTTACCAAAGTAGAGAACATCAGCTTATCATGTTAAACTGGGGAAATAAAAAAGAAAGTGAATAATCCTAAAAGGAAGTATCTTTTTAGCTATGACTCTAAACAGGGATGAACAGCAGTCACAGCACTTTTGCTCATCGACAGACATTCATGTTCACATCTAACACTCATATTTTAGTTTCTAATATTATCCACTAAAAAAGCACTAGGGCCCACAGAAAAATACTTTGAGGCAGGGAAAAACTCAGTATAGCTCTAGAAGATTGTTATTGACATTTACAAGGACATTGTAAGACTATCTTGGGTAGTAATAAAAAACAAAAACTGGCTCAAGGGAACTCTACTGGGAAAGTTATAATAATTTGAATATCTAATGGGACAATAGTTATGATTAATTATAACAGCTTTCAAAGGCTAGGAAGTTTTCATATTTTCATACAAAAGAAGAATAAAATAGAAAAAATTTAATTTCTTCCAATTTCTAATACATAGTCAAATAACAAAGATTCCAATATATAAACATCTCTAACTTGAGAAATTGAAGTTTAAAGCATTATCTTGAATATTTTCCTTACTTTAGTTAGAGATAGCATTTATCTCATTCAAAAGTAAAACCTGGGATTTTTTTTCTCTTCTAATTTCCTCACACTATGAGTGCCAACCACTGGCCTAACTGCTAAGATTGCACTGGCGTGCTTGTATGTATGTGTGCATATGTATATGTGTGTGAGAGAGAGAGAGAGAAAGAAGATAGCATTTATTTCTATTCTCATGAAGTTCATAATCTCTGTGGAAAACACAAAGGATAATATAGAAATCTCAAAATTATGTGCACTGTGAAAATCTTTCATATTGCTAATTGACTTAGGAAAGTCAAGAAAGTTTACGAAATTATTGATTGAATTGGGGTAACAGGAGACATAGGAATTAAGTAGGCAAATAGTGAACCACATTCCAAGTGGAGGCAACAGTGTATACAAAGGCTCTGTTGTGTTGCTCTTGTTGTTTAGTCACTAAGTCATGTCTGACTCTTTGTAACCCCATGGACTATAGCCCAACAGCCTCCTCTATCCATGGGATTTCCGAAGTAAGAATACTGAAGTGGGCTGCCATTTTCTTCTCTAGGGGATCTTCTTGATTCAGGGATTGAACCCATGTCTCCTGCATTGGTAGGCAGATTCTTTACCACTGAGCCAATAGAGAAGCCCCCAAATTAATTTTAAGTATTATGAATTTGGCTTCAGATATTTTGTTTATTTATTATTATTATATTTATTGAATTGAACTATATGCCAGACACTTGCCTTGGTTCTTGGGATATATTAAGAAAATAATATAGACAAACCATCACTGCCCTTTTGAAATGTATGTTTTAATCAAAGGAAGCAGATGATAAAAAAAACTAATATAATAGATAAGTAAATCATACAGTGTATTGGAAGGTGAAAGCTACTGAAGTAGAAATAGAGCAAAGTAGGAGAACTGGGACTGTGAAATGGTGGAGGATTTTAAACAGGGTAATTGTTGTAGTCTTTGTACAGAAAGTGAAGCTTGAGGAAAGACTTGAAGGAGGTGAAATGGCTAGTCATGGGGATGTCTGTGGAGTAATGTGGGAATGGGGTATTAGGTAGAGAAAGAAACCAGTGCAAAGACCCTGGGGCAGAATGCGACTTGGCATGTTCAGACCCAAGGAACACACGAGGAGACTGGATGATGAGTGGTGTGAATGACAGAGGAATAATAGGGATCATGTCTAAAATTAATTAGTGGATGTGCGTATATCCTTGCAGATCATCGTAAGGACTCCAATTTGTGATTGTAAGAATTTCTGTTGAGTCTGTGGCTCCATTTTGTTTTTCCAGTGCAAATGTCAAATGCTATTTCAGAACTTAGAGGAGAGGTTATGGGTAGATATATTTTTTGATTCACTTCTAGGTAGTAATTAAAGCCCTGAGTATGAAACAGATAACCTAGATCAGGATTGACAAATTCCAGGAGACAAATCCAGCCTCTTGGCTGGTTTTATAAATACAGTTTTATTGAAACACCACCACGCCTATTAATTTACGTATTGTTTATGGTTGCTTTCACTTTACAGTGACAGGATTGAGTAATTACAACAGAGAGCTCCTCAAAACCTAAAATATTTACTCCCTCAAATTTCTCAGAGAAACTTAGCTGGTCCCTTGTCTAGTGACACAAAACAGCTTGGAAGAAGCAGCGCTATGAGTTATTTGTTGTTGCTTAACTGCTCAATCCATGCTGACTCTTTGTGACTCCATGAACTGTATCCCACCAGGCTCCTCTTTCCATGGGATTTCTCAGGCAAGGATACGAAAGTGGTTTACCATTTCCTTCTCCAGGGGATCTTCTCAACCCAGAGACTGAACCCACGTCTCCTGCATTGGCAGGTAGATTTTTTACCATGGAGCCCCCAGGGAAGCCCCTTTGAGTCTTAGGCAACTCTGATATTTGCTGTCCCAAGGGAGCAGCTGGGTATGCAAAGGAGACAGACATGAAGCAGCTGTAGTGAAAACTCAGCGCAGACTTCACAGCAGGGAAAGAAGGGTGTTTCAAATACAAACTGTGATTGATGAAGATGAGAACTGAGAACCAGTCTTTGGATGAACAACCTGAAGGTCATTGGTTTTCTTAGTAAAAGCTGTCTCTATGGAGAGTTGTGTGTTAGAGTTAGTGTCAAGTGAAAGTGGTTGAGGATTTAGTATAGCATGGAGACAAAATGCAGCAGTCCCCAAACTTCACAACACCAGGACCAGTTTCGTGGAAGAGAATTTCTCTGAGGGTGGGGGTGGGGAATGGTTTCAGGATGATTCAAGTGTATTATGTTTATTGCGCACTTTATTTCAATTACTATTATATCAGCTCCATCTTGCATCATCAGGCATTAGATCCCAGAGGTTGGGGGTATGGTATATACCCCCTCCTGATGTAGGGAGTATGAGTGTCTCTTTGGTGCTTGTGAAAAAGAGGATAAAGATAGCAACTTAGCTGAAAAGAATTGTTAGGGGTCAAGAGTGAGTTCTCTTGTACATTGTTTTGTTTCTGGTTGCTTAAATTAAATTCAGCTGAATTAAAAGTTGGTGGAAAAATCTAATGACGAAGGAATTGTTAACTGTTATAGAGAGAAGGGTTAAAAATAATGGGAAGTTTTTCAGAAGGTCAGAAGAAATGGCCTGGAAGGCACATTTTGTAGAATTTCAGGCAAGCTTTTTACTGTAACAGAAGAGGAAGGAGGGGAAAGGTGCAGGTGATGGAAGATTTTGTGTCTGGGGAGGGGAACGTGAAAGCATTCCTGTCTGATAGCTTATATTTTCATTCTGAAACGAGAGTAGAAGTGTTTGAGGAGTGCGAGGGAGCTGAAAAGAGAAGCAGTGTGCTTGCAGTCAATGTAGTGAACTCATCATAGTTTAAAGACCTTGAGTTGATGTAGAACAAGCCTGTGTGTGTGTGTGTGCGTGTGTGTGTGCATGTGTGTGTGTGTGTGTGTGTGTGTAATCTTTGCTCTGCAACTCAGGTACAACAGTGGAGGACACATTTGTTTGGGTTCATTCAATATTAGGGGTTTGAAAGCAGGATGAGGCAAAGCACTAAGACTTTAGGATTTATAGGCAGTGCTATTTAAATAATGGATTCTTGATTCCAAAGATAAGAAGAGTGCAGTGGAGTGGAGGTGTCTTTAAGGTTAAAGTAGGAATCATTTGATAAGCAAGATGGAAGATACAAAGTTTTGTTTAGAGAAAGGGGTGATTGACTTCAGGATTTTAGATTGTGGAGCAGTCTACCATGTAACCAAGTTCAAGGAATAAACTTGAATGGATTAGAGAAGGTCATTCAGAGATAAAGAGGTTAAGGAAATGAACCAGTGTTTAATCCATCATCTTTGTAGGATTGGCAGTAATGGCAGTTGATGTCAGACTTTTGACAGAGATTTTGTTCCTATCATGGGAGTAAGATATAATATTTAGTCACTGAAAATTCATCAACAGACTATTTAATGACTGAAGAGGAATATACTGAAGGTCAACAGATAATAGTATTTAGAAAATGGTATAGTTAAAGAGCAGAAACCTCGAAGTTGGCAGTTTAATTTTAACAGGAGAAGCAATAATAAGCCACAGGGAACCAGAAGGATAGAACCCATACTTCCTCATCTAGAGTTAAAACAGATGGAGAAAACAATAATCTACCACTTAAGGTAAGTATAAAAACAAGTGCATAAATGATGCCAAAATGAACTAAATCCATGATATCCACAGGTTAGAATATATTTTAGAATGAGCATTTTATATATGTATAAAATTATATTATATTATATATATTTATATATATTATATATATATATATATATATATATTATACACACACACACACACACACACATATACCATACATATAGCAGGATTGGCAGTTCCAGAGGGTATAGCAAAATGGGTTGAGGGTCCTTGGCTAAGAGGAGACGCTGCCTTGGGCCCACCGGTATAAGAAACTGCACTCCACTAAAAAAAAAAATGGTTTGAAAATGGAAAACTGATTAAGGAGTAAATGATTACACAGAATTATGTTACAGTAGTATATTGGAGGATAGATAGCCAGAGAAGCATACACTAGGGATGGTAGATTTGGACTCAGTGGTCATTTAAAAATATATGGCTATCAAATCTATAACCAGTTAAACACAAATTCTATATCAAAACATACTGATACCCAGAAATTCTAAAAAATATTTCTCCAACCTGTATAATCATTTTAATCTTTAATTTCACCCCCACTACCTTAATTTAGAACTTGTGTCTCTCACTTTTATATCTTACCATATTTTCCTAACTTATCTCCATGTCTTCACTCTTGAATCTTTTTAACTCAATTTCTGCCTGAATAATCTTTATATAATGTAGTTTGATCCTTTCCATCAAAATGCTCATTAGTAGTGTTCTAATGTAAGCTTCTGTTCCAGAGTCTTGTTTGTCTCCTAAATCTCTCCTTCTTTCCCTCCAGGAATGTTATGCTCCATCAACATGGACCCTGTTTTCCAGAATTTTCCAAGGTATCTTACAGATCCAAGCCTTTGGTCACGTATGTTTTTGCCTGGAGCTTCCCTTCCATGGCTGACATCCAACATCTTATCTCCCACAGCCAAACTTCTAACTCAAGCCTGGTTTTAGTTTTCCAAGAATGGTTCATCAGTCTTTCCTTTCTATCTTGTATTGTGTGTGTGTGTGTGTTAGCTGTTCAGTTGTGTCCAACTCTTTGAGACCCAGGGACTGTAACCTTCCAGCCTCCTCTGTCCATGGAATTCTCCAGGCAAGAATACTGGAGTGAGTGGCCATTCCTTTCTTCAGGGGATCTTCCTGACCCAGGGATTGAACTGAGGTCTCCTGCATTGCAGGCAGATCTTACGCAGCCAAACTTCTTACTCAAGCCTTTCCCTGGGTTTAGTTTTCCAAGAAGCGTTAATCAATCTCTCCTTTGTGTCTTGTATGTCTATTCAAATTGCTTTGACAAATGTTTGCTGATTTTATTTTTTTCCCTAACAGTTTTCTTAACTAGACAATGAGCTCCTTGAATGATGATGTTTGTGCCATAGAAGATGCTTAATAAAGGCTTGCCCAATTGGAGTGGACTTACACACCTGCTCTTGCCATAAGCACATCACTTTCAAGTAAGTTTTCTCTCTTTTGGCTCCACTCTTGAAATACAAATTGACCTCTCTGAATTCTTTCTCTAATGCCCTTGTTGGAAAATGTTAATAACTGGTCAGTGGCAGGCATGATTAAGCCTTCCTTTCTCCTTTATTTAGATTGGTGTCACTGCACTGGTTCCGAGAGAGCGGTAAAGAACATTAACACTGCATCCACCCTGACAGAACAAACCATTCCCTAGAAATTGATAAGGGCCTTTTTCTGGAAATAAATTTGGTGGTGGCAAAACAAATGGTTGTCTCAATTGCCATCCATCTCCCTTTCTTTAATAACTTTCATTTATTTCACCACATCCCTTTCTCAGATTAGTATAACAAATGCATTTACCTTTGAAGGAAGGGGCATTGGCAGATTTTTCCAATGCAGAGGAAAACTAAATGTCTCTTAACTAAGCCCTGTTACATGCCTGAATATACTATTTCTTTGGGAGTTTCAGTTAACTATTTTGAATTAAGGGGCTTATTTCTTTAACAGGAATCAATGATCCTGAAATTTAAAAGCATATTTTAATTCCTTGACTGGAATAAAATCTTTCAACTTGTGGTATATTAAAAAGCTGCTTAAACAATTTCAGGTGAATGTTATTGGATGCTATGATGATAGAATAAAATAAAATTTCTCTTCCGCCTCTGAAGGAAAAAGAAAACCCAACTAGTTGGTATCATAAAACCATGTGAATGTGACAGTGTTAGTTGCTCAGTCATGTCTGACTCTTTGCAATCTCATGGACCAAAGCCCTCCAGGCTCCTCTGTCCATGGGATTTCCCAGGCAAGACTACTGGAGTGGATTGCAATTTCCTTCTCCAAGGGATCGTCCTGACCCAGGGATCTAACCCAGATTTCCTGCATTGCAGGCAAATTCTTTACCATCTGAGTCACCAGGGAAGCCCCATCAAATGTGTATCAGACAAACACTTTGAACCCCTGGTATGTACTAGAAAATGGAAATCTTTGGCTCCCTTAAATTTCACTTACCAACAAAAGAAAATAACAAACTAGTACATATTACTGGAGTGACAGGATTACCCATTTTTCCTTTGGCTTTAAAATTTTTAGTTTCTATTTTTTGGGGGAAAAAAACACCACTGGTTAGTAGGCCTCAGACATCCCCTTTTCTGATAAAGGGGAAACCAAGACTCAACAGAGAGTTGGGAAGTTTTAAAAATATTGCTCACTCAGCTTAGAGTCCTTTAGATCATTAGTTTGAAGAAATACTGAATCAGGAAACACATACACACACACCACAAAACAAAAGAGGTAAGCAAACTAACAACAACAAAAATATTCATTCTTATGGTTACACCAAATGAGCTCAACTCTGGAAACCTTTCATAGAACTTGCCAGTGGAATGGTTGCTATAGAATTTCTAGGTTCAATTATTTAAAAAGTAATCACACAAGTTGCCTGGGTCACCTGCCAGCATTGATGATCAGGCACTTTAATAAAAACACTTTTCTAGGCCTTGCATGCATGTGTGTTAAGTCACCCAGTCGTGTCTGACTCTGGGCTACCCCATGGACTGAACCCCCCAAACTCCTCTGTCCATGGAAGTCTCCAGGCAAGAATTACTGGAGTGGGTTGCCATAACCTCCTCCAGGGAATCATCCTGACACAGGGATTGAACCCGTGTTTCTTAAGTATACCTGCATTGGCAGGTGGGTTCTTTACCTATAGTGCCACTTGGGGAAGCCTTTCTAAGCCTTATGATAACACAATTTTACATCTAGAGGATAGGAGTGTCTAAAAAGTTCAGTTTTTCAAGGCATTCTCCACCATTCTTATGACATGCTTTTTGATACACATCCAGTGGGGACTTCCAATCTAGTTCTCAAGATAAGAAAGCTTATAATAAGTGAAAGATGTTCGCACAAGGTCGCATACTTTAACTAGGAACAGAGGCCAAGAACATGAATTTTTCTGGTGAGTTGTTCCATTGGACTCATGGGTATACTGATTTAATAGATAACTCCTATATCCCTGTGCTAGCCACCAAATAGAATACAATGAAGCCTTATGAATCCAGAACAATGAGAGAATAAAATGTTGTATGGAATTTTTTCAGGTACTCATAATATATAATATTCATATAAGGCTTTTCCATATGCACAAGGCTTTCACATCCATTATTTCATTTCATCCTCACAACTTAGGTCATTTTACAGCTGTGAGAAAACTGCAAGTAAGAAGGTAGAAGTTAGGACACTTTTCCATGTTTACAAAATTAGTGATCAGGAGTGGGATTTGAACTTGGTGTTTTAACTTATAGTCAAATGTTGTTACTTCAGGGAACTCTTGAAGATGAATTTTATTTCTACAAGTACCAAAATAAGTGTTAGTTTAAAACTGTTTTACAAATACTTGTAAACATTACTAGGACACACCCACAGGTGCCATGACAGTTCTGAGAGCAGCTATCAAAGACCAAAAGGTGGATGGTGTCTTAATTCCTGGAAATCCCTGCTTCTTCCCCAAAGTAATTGGAATAATCCTCCCATTCATTAGCCTAAGAAATTACCCAGCCCATAAAAACTAACCACGCTGTGTTTTGGGGTCACTCTCACCTTCCAAGATAGCCCATGCTCTGTCTAGGCAGTGTGTTTGTCTCTAAATCCCTTTTTACCTAAAAATAATAATAATAATAATAAAGAAAAAAAATTGTTATGTCTTTCCTGGTATTCAGAGAGAAAGGGTACTGAATATAATTTAAACTTTTTTTCTTCTTGAGATTGGACCAGCATAATTATTTTCATTATTGTACTTTAATAAATAGGGTTGCAAAGAGTCAGACATGACTGAATGCCCACACACACATACACACACACACATACACACACTCACACACACACATACACACACATACACGCACATGCATACACACACACACACTTTAATAAATATAAGCCTGTATCTACACTTTAGTGTTTCTTTCCTATTTCTCAATCGGAGTTTGTGAGATATTACCACTCCTGATAAGTGTGCTAACCTCAAAAAGCCTAGCCTTTTATTTTCTGTTTCATTTTCTAATGTTATGCTTCTAATACACTCTAGGCAGAGAGAGTAGGTCATTAATCTTATTAAATGTGTTTACCATGGTTATGGGTGAAGCAATCAGTGAGAAACTAAGATTCCCAAACATTAGAGTGTACCAATATTTCTTGGGAAGTATATAAAATACAGATTCATGGGACTTACTCTGGTAGATCTGGAGTGGAGACCAGAAATTTAACTAATGTCGCTTGTATTTCTGAAGGAGATTTTCTTTCTGTAGTTTAGTAACACTAATAAAGAAGCAAAATACATGTTTCATGCATGAAGCCCATGGCATCAATTCCACATCTTTTACAATGTTTGCTTCAGATTCTAGGAAAGGCAACATGGTCCAGTAAATAGAATTTGGAGTCAGTCACACCTGGATTAAAATCCAGCTCTGTGACTTTCAAGTGAAGAGACTTCGGAAACATTACTTAACCCCCCCTCACCCCATCTCATCATCTGGAAAATACCCCATCCCCTCATCTCTCATGGCTGTAGTTTCTGATCAGAATGAGACTGTGCCTGTGAAAGTATTTTCATATACCATATAATTCCATATGGTTGCTTAGAATTTTACAGTTTGTTGTTGCCAGAAGACATTGATAGATCAATCAATACTTTTATAAAGCTCAATGGTTTTCCAATTGCGGTGGCTAAACCACTGCAATATTACAATTCCTAACTGCATCAGCAACCAAGATATAACCTTCAAGACTAGTAGACCCTGGCTATCAGCACTTCAGGATGCATTAAGAGCCCTGTTTGTTCAAGATTCTGCAAATGTGAAAGGGAAAAAAAAAAAAAAAAAAACTACCCGAATGCACACAGAAAAAAAATGAAAAGGGAGCTGGGAGGAGCCTGCTCCCGGGAAATGGAAATTGGAAGGTTTTATTGCAGCAAATTTCTCCTCCAGGTCTAGCACCTGCTCAGTCACCCAACCCTCCAGATTTCAATAAGTGATTAACGACTCATTAACAGATCATTAGCTAAATCAGCCCAGTGCAGTGAAGAGAACTGGGTTCACTAATTTCCCTGGATTATCACCAAATGCAGACCAAAAAGGAAATGAAATATGTCTGATAAAAATGTTAGTGAAAGAAAATCAAACCTGCATATTTGTTGGAAGGACTGATGCTGAAACTGAAGTTCCAATACTTTGGCCACCAGATGCAAAGAGCTGACTCCCTGGAAAAGACCCTGATGCTGGAAAAGATTGAAGGCAGGCGAGGAAGGGGGTGACAGAGGATGAGATGATTAGATATGGCATCATTGACTCAATGCGTATGGATTTGAGCAAACTCCAGGAGATGGCGAAGGACAGGGAAGCCTGGCGTGCTGCGGTCCATGGGGTGGCAAAGAGTCAGACACGACTTAACGACTGAACAACAGCAACAACACAGTGCTGATTTATATATCAGGGTGGAGTCATGCACTTTGTAGAAAGTGGCTCTTCCCCTCTGCATCCCTTGTTCCTGTCCTTGTCACCCACCCGAGTGTAGATCAGGAACAGTTTTACTTCTCAACCTCCCTCCTCATCCCAGATTTTTCAGGTGATGGGTTGGATGAAGGCTGGACCATACAAGATTTCAGCTTTAAGTCTCTGCAGCCAGACAGATACTCTTTTCCTGAGCACAGTCTCTTGTACAGTGATTCATAAACACTGAAAGTGATCCTTCCCTTTTATTCCTAAAGTAAGTGGTTCTAATCAGTCACTCGGGGTTCCCGCCTCCACAAGTACCTCAATTTCTACTTGTTTCCGAGCCTGGATCTCCAGATTCTCCTTGATTCTCTGAGTCCCCATTAGGTTTCCCATGAATCAAGCTTTGCCCATGCTAGCTGGGTCTGTTTCTGTGGGTTTCCACTAAGCAACTCTCACTGATAATGTGGACATTTTAGTTCCTACTTTCAAACCAGAGGAGAGAGACGGAGTGAAGTCTTAAAATTGGAATCAGCGTTCTCACCTTTCCTATTTAGAGGGCTTCCTGTCTCAAAGTCTTCTCCAGCTCAGAAACTGTCAACACTATCTGCCCATGGCTCATGCCAGAAAACTGGAACTTGTTCTTGAATCTTTTCCTATCACCCCCTACATTTAGCCATCAGCATATGTGATTGCTTTATCTCAAGATTATATATAGATCCTGTCCATTTGTCTCAGTCTTCACTGCTATGTTGTCCTTCCCCCAAAATATTTTCACACACCCACCCTTGCCCTCCGCCCCTGGCACACTTCAGCATAAATTGAATGATCTCACCCATTCTCAGGCTTGGTCGTTCAGTGGTGTCCAACTCTCTGTGACCCTATGGACTGTAGCCCACCAGGCGCCTCTGTCCAGGCAAGAATACTAGAGTGGTAGCCATTCC